ATTCACGTTTCAAACTTTTATTATTTTCTTCCAATTCACGTTTCAAACTTTTACTATTTTCTTCCAATTTTTTTTCCAAACTTACTATTTTCTTCCAATTTTCTTTCCAAACATTACCTCATTTGCGACAGTTCGTCTTCGAAAAGGAACATTTCAGGATCATGGCCATCCCTTTTCAACGCCTCCGCGAGCCGCCACTGAAGTTCCGCTTTGTTACCGCTTGTCGCTTCATCCCGTTCCTCCAATTCTCTTCTTAGCTCGGCTATTTTTAATTCGTACAACTTCTTTGTCATTGTAATGTTTTTTACTCAACCCCACACCTGACACCNAACGAGTTTTTGTTTCTTGTGTCTAACAATATTTTAGTTAATTTGAAAAACGACAAGGAACTGCATTCTTTCGTAATTTTTGATATGTTAATGGCACATTTAAACATTACCGGAAATGGATACTTTTTTTACTGAATTTTCGTACTCATACCTACCACATTTTAAAAATGATTTATAATTTGAATTGCAACCGGGGACACAACAACGACGAGGCATTTTGTTAAAATGATAAAGAAAATTACAATTAAGACACACAATCTAACTTAAACACTTTAACTTCTTTCACCTAATAGTTAATTTTGCCTTCTGCAATTAAAAACTGTATTTAAAGGTAAACTAAAATAAACTATAAGCGTTCTTATTGCACATTTACTGCACGATATTTCCACCGAAATTAAAATATTACAGAACAACCAAAGAAACACAACAACCAATGCATTAGCTATAACGTTCATTCTGCGAAATCCTGGGACTTCAACAGTGTTTCCAAGTGAATCTTCAGCACGGCTTTTAACTAAAGATGGCTGTGCTAGCTTGTTACATTTATTGGGCGGCTTCTTGTTGCTGTAGCAATGATATAATATTGTATTTTTGTAGGTCGCACTTTCGTGGTTTGGTACCTTAACCATAAAGAAAGGAGGACACAAGCAGGTAATGTTCCCCAAACAGACGTACTAATCAAGAGCACCTCTGCAACTTAATTTTGAGCCAAGTGGAGTGGGGTGGTTGCAAAGGGAGGTGGGGGTAGTAACTCCAAATATATCATATAACTTTCGTGGTAGTTGTCAATACAACTGTTGTAAACGTTTTCCAAAGTAAAGAGTACATATTTGGTACTTTCTTTTTAGTAACCTGTGATTCGAGTCTGATCCATATCGATTATTGAAAATTTCCTTTTTTTCCTTCTTATTTCATTTCACACACGCTGAGTAGTTGCATAATGACTTCAACAAAATGTAAGATGATAATGATTCTTTCTATTTATTTACAACTCATTCAACTTTGCTGTCGTTTTTCTCCATAGCTGTTTTTCAATTCCCTTTTCTTTTAATACTGTTAGCAGCTCCTACTACATTTGTTTATCAATTACGTATCCGCATTCTCTTCCAGCATTGTTTTTACGCTCTCTCATAAATTTATCTCTATTAAATTCTTCTGTACTTTTTAAGCTTTCCCCCATTGTCATTTCGTAGCTCATTTTTTTTTCCACTTTTCGCTTTCCTCCATTGTCATTTCGTATTTTTCTTCTCTTTTCCTATTTCTTGTTTCCCAATGTTAACACATTTTTTTCCTTTCCTCCAGTATACTCAAGTGTATTTTTTATAGTTGTAAATACATTACTTAACTTTGTTTTTTAGTCCATTTATGTATCTTCTGTTACATAATAAATAATATGTAACTAATGTAAGTGTTTTTAATTTGACATTTATTTCTTACACTTCCACATATTTAAGTGAAAAATTGTTAAGTTACAATCAATCATCTTGAATTATTATGAAAATTTCACTTCAATTAACTTGGAACAAACGCAAAAAATAAGAAGCCCATTTAAATTGCGCTCCTTTTCGTTTTAGTTCTTTCCCTTAGTAGACAGATGGCGCAAAATTTGATGACAGAGTGAGTCATCTACGACAGTATATATATATTTCTAATCTATGATCGCCAATCCTCATCCAGCATCGTATATAGAAGGACCTCTGAAGAAGCTAGCGACTCCAACACACAACGGCATTTAAACCCGAATCAGAACAACATTAGTTCACCTACTGGACGCAAAAACCTTTACTAATTAATTGTACTAAGTGTGTTTGCATGCCTTTTTAACAACTATTTACGCATGGTCATTTTAGAAAACCAGTTTTGAGCATTCGTTCTTATCGCGCACAACTTGATGTAATCGTTTGCTCTTGACGTTGAAAATACTTCTGTGTTCGTATATATGGGACCTATCTCACTAAAAACAAAATTGTAAAAACACTATGTTTTTCTAAGTAAAAGGTACTCTATGTCCTTTTCTGTACTCCTGACAATGTGTTTACAAAATTTCATGATAATCGATTGAGTAGTTAAATTGTGAACTATATGTAATGTAATGTTCGTGGGTTTAACAAAATTAACTTCTAAGACTGATAACACCAGAACTATTTATTTACACTAATTATTAAAGAACTTAAAAACACTATTAAATTATTACTAAACATAGGTTATGAATTATTCTATTTATTTACACTACTGTTGATATATCACTATTCACTGCGCTATTTATTTTACTTCTATCACTGTCAATTTATTTCTGGATTCACTTCTGATCAATGTATTTCTTCTTCTCTCGGCGATTGTCTCTTCCTTTAAATACTCTTTTGTTTACTTTCTGGAACCTTCTGGAAACATCCGGATAGTTTATTTTTTCTTTGAACGGTTTAACTGCATTCCTAGAACGCAGGTACGACACACACATTTAAAAATACGGCACACATGAAGAAAGACGCCCGCGGCTAGTCGGCACACTCGTGCTCGCTACAATAAAGTTAAATTAAACAATTTCTTCAACTATTTTTTTATCATCCACTAATTTTCAACTCTTATCATTAAAATCAGTTCACAGTATTGGCAGAAAAATCGCATTGTTACCATACACAAAAAAAAATACGGTTGAGTTGATAACCTCGTTTTTGAAGTTTGTTGAAAATTAAATAATTCGACCACTTCAGTGTAATTAAAATCTTCTATATATTCATCTGTAATAAATGTCGATTATTGTTTACATTTAGTTGAACATCCACTGCAGAACAAAATAGAAACATGTATCTATTGTAGACAAGCATGGGATTCTAAACGCGGAAGTACTACAGTAATTACTCACATCCGGTATGAAAAAACTGAGAGAGATCATGCATGGCAAACATGACAGTAGGTTTGTTTTCTTCATTCGGACAAACGGTATAAGTACAACAATATAACCACATTGTAGTCTAGTATTTTCGCTAAACATTAACCCACTTGGAGTTAACTTAGAAGTAGTAATACATATCTAACAATAAAAACACTTATTATCTTTTTTATACTATACAATCTTTTTTTATCGATAGAACAACAAGAAGCGACAACGATANGGTTATGTAGATGGCATTAATAGACTGGAACACCGCTATGAGAAATGTATCAGCCTTGGAGGAGATTATGTTGAGAAATAAAAAAAAAAAATTTTTAAAAACCTTGTTTTTCTTGGTCAGGCCGGAAACTTATCAATCCACCCTCGTAGAAGGACCTCTGAAGAAGCTAGCGACTCCAACACACAACGGCATTTAAACCCGAATCAGAACAGCATTAGTTCACCTACTGGTCGCAAAAGCTTTTACTAATTAATTGTACTAAGTGTGTTTGCATGCCTTTTTAACAACTATTTACGCATGGTCATTTTAGAAAACCAGTTTTGCGCATTCGTTCTTATCGCGCACAACTTGATGTATTCGTTTGATCTTTACGTTGAAAATACTTCTGTGTTCGTATATATGGGACCTATCTCACTAAAAACAAAATTGTGGAGTGACAGATCTAACGCTCGATCGAGGTCACCGACCGAGAGTTTCTATGTCTTTTGTTAGGTCTCAAAGAAATTAATGTAATGTAAATGTCTAATATGTCGATTCCTAGCGATTATAATCATTATTATATCATATCGTAATTACAATAGGGAAATTTTAAATAGGAAGAATGCACTGCAAACTATAGGTATTTATTGTATTAAAACACATATCGCTAAAAGAATAAATAAATGTAATCTAATTTGATTTGTGTGGTGTGGAATACCCATGCGTCCGTGCAACAAGCGGGGCGACCATTGTGTGTTATCCGTTACATTTGTTAACTCATACTTTTATCGGTATTTCTTTAATTTTAACGTTTTAGAATTGGTATACATACTTTAATTTGTAATTAACTCAGCATTTTGTGATTTATACAAACTACTAGATTTTATCCATTGCTTCGCTCGCATTGTTGTCCTAAATACGTGTCAAAGATTATCAGTTTTATTTTGGATAAAAGGTACCCTATGTTATTCTCTGTACCCCTCACAGCATTCTTTCTGGATAAAATGTACCCTACGTCCTTTTCTGTATCCTTGGCAACGGGTCTACAAAACTTTATGACGATCGGTTGAGTAGTTAAGGTCTGAAATCTACCACATAAAATTAATTTTTTCTATCCCTTGGAAAGAGTATTTTTTTTTTATTAAAATGTACCCTATGCCTTTTCTGTAACCCTAACAATACGTTTACAAAATTTCACAATGATCGAAGTACTTAGTCGGCGAATCGATAAGCTGTTCACGCACACGTGTGCCAGATCGCACACAAACACACTCGTGCTCGCTACAATAACTATTTTTTTATCTCTCGGGAACAATATCTTTTCTTGAAAAATGGTACCCTATGTGCTTTTTTGTACTGCTGACAATGTATGTACAAAATGTCATAATGATCAGTTAAGTAGTTAAAGCGTGAAAGTCGACAAACAAACAACAATTCATATTTCTGGCTTCTCGGAGAAAAATGGCCTTTGTATTACTACAGTATATGATGTATGATTTTATGTTACTTTCATTTAATGTTATCCTTTATGATATGAGTGATATATTTATAGAGTAAGTAATACCTTCTTTTGTTTCAGATTTCATAATTTTTCATCAGTATGAATCACAGTGATTTCATTATTACCTACGAGTGGGAAATCGTCAATGCAACCGATATTTACCTTAACTGGACAAACACATCACTTACGGAAGCAGATGTTTGGGAACATTGGATAGCTCTTGTACACGAGAATGCTTTAGTGGTGTCTCTCTTAATGCTGTTTTCTTTGGCAACTGTTTTTGGCAACACATTAGTTATAATGGCCGTAGTGAGAGAGCGATACTTACATACAGCTACCAACTACTTCATCACATCACTTGCTGTGGCTGATTGTTTAGTTGGACTTGTTGTGATGCCCTTCAGTGCCTTGTATGAAGTGTTAGAGCACACTTGGTTCTTTGGATCAGACTGGTGTGATATTTGGAGATCATTAGATGTTCTCTTTAGTACGGCATCAATTCTCAACTTGTGTGTAATTTCATTAGATAGGTAAGTAACAAAAGTAAGATTTACCTATTCTCGTCAAAATGTCAGAAAATACTTAAGACTATTGTCGAAGTTTTATCAGCTAATGGCAAGATTAAATTCGCGGTGCCTTTAGGATTAATTATATAATACTTGTTGCTACTAGATACTATTTTCTTTTGAAACATTACTTTTCTCAACCGGCTTGAAGAAATCAATATAGAAAAATGTATTAAGTTTTTTAAAGGCGTAGTACATTTGAAAATAAAAGTAAATCTTCAAACCGCAATGCTTTGTGATGGTTAGTTTTTGAAATATTGGAAGCCACAATGCCGGGACCATTGAACGTGACGTCATATCGAAGTACCATCGAAGTACCATCGACGTACCATTTTTAGGGCGTTACGACTAGATTGTAGACCTTCGAGTTGTCACATCAATCGCGTGATATGCGCTTATATTACTTTTATGATGTTCAGTTTGGAACTAAAGTGCAACAAAGTAAATTAAATCAATTAAAAGAGAAGCATTACAAAATGCAGGCTTTTTGAATATATACGGTGTGTAGTAGTGGGTATAAAACTCAATCTTCGCGATCGCAGTCCGCTCTCCTTTAATCGGTTTCTCGAAAAAGAGATGTAGTTTGTTTTTTTTTTTTTGAAACTCATCTACGTAAACTCCACAAAAAAATTATACAAACTTTTTCGTAGTNAGAAGCATTACAAAATGCAGGCTTTTTGAATATATACGGTGTGTAGTAGTGGGTATAAAACTCAATCTTCGCGATCGCAGTCCGCTCTCCTTTAATCGGTTTCTCGAAAAAGAGATGTAGTTCGTTTTTTTTTTTTGAAACTAATCTCCGTAAACTCCACAAAAAAATTATACAAACTTTTTCGTAGTCATTTAAATTATCGATAACTTTTATTAATATACGTTTGATGTTGCATTAATAATAAATGCCGTATCTGCCCCTCAAACCAATAAACAAAGGACTACCGGTTTATAATTGTTGTTTTTATTCATGGTTACGCTTTAAACGTTTTTCCACATTAATTTTCTTACTTGTCTGTCTCATGGAACTGTCATCCAATGAACCAATTGCCTTGCAGAATGCAGACGAAAACTATAGTAGTGCTGTAGCACGCTTGTGCGCTCATGACAGCGCGGCAATACTGGTCGCACGCTTTACGTCTTTGCTCATAAACGGAACGTCACAGAAGTCAGCAGTTTTCACATATACTATTAAATATTTTAAAGTATTTTGTCATATTTTCATGAAAATTTACTTTAATGCCTCTTTAAGTGCCTCTACAAATTATCAAGATTTCTATGTACCTATCCATACCAGCGTTGAAGTTTCTTCCTTTCCTTGTTGTGTATGTCAATAATCCATTGTAACACACTGTACCCTTTCTCGGAATTCGGACAAGCTTCGACAAGTTTCACATTTTAAGACGAATTTTTCAATTTTCAGAAGCGGTAATCTAAAAAATCTACATAAATCAGTTACCTACATTCGACAGACAATTAAAATGGGATAAAATTGGTAGACCCATAGTTTAGAAGCATAAGCAACTGATAAATAAAATCCTTGTCATTTTTATAATTCAAATTTCACTACTAGATATTAATTAATTATCAATTTTTTCTATGTCTGAAAATACGCTTTCTGTTATTGATACCTTTTTGTTTAAAGGGCAACATACCATAAAACGAAGATATACAATGATAATGTGGTCTGTAATACGAGCAAACGGAACAGTTGTAGGTGTTTTTATTTAGATTTTGAAACCAAAATTGTGATGAACATTTCCCTAACACGAACATTCACCGGTTTCTGTGATGAACATTAAGCTGAATGAAATAGATCCAGATTGTATAAGATATAGTGAGGAATAAAAGCTAATAAAATATAAAAATTGTCGTCAATGGGCAACAATATTAATAAGAAAGGCTTACTAAGGATTTGATTTGTTAACGAAAAGCTGCAGTTGCAAATTTTGTGAATACCTAATAACTATTCTCATTGCAGAAATCTAAAAACAAGTAAAATGGTGCAATGTATTTGTACCATATTATTCCGCTTGGAAAAGAAAATACCCAATAATTCTGCAAGGTAACGTAATTGCAGAACAGACGCAGCTATTTTCTATTTAGCATACATAATAAAATCATTACGTGCAACTATAACAATGTCGTACTACCTTGCAAAATCAAGTTAAACTGATTAAAACACTTTTATATTTTCAGATATTGGGCAATAACCGATCCTATTGCATATCCTATGAGAATGACGCGCATACGGGCTGGTTTACTAATAGCCGCAGTCTGGATATGTTCTAGTGCTATATCCTTTCCCGCCATCGCTTGGTGGAGAGCTGTGAGAACAGAACCAATACCACAATTCAAATGCCCCTTTACGGAACATTTGGGTTATCTTATATTTTCTTCAACAATTTCATTCTACCTTCCCTTATTCGTTATGGTATTTACATATTATCGAATTTACCGTGCAGCAATGGTTCAAACAAGATCTCTTCGTCTTGGTACCAAACAGGTACTTCTTGGATCGGGTGAATTAGAGCTGACCTTAAGAATGCACCGAGGAGGAACTTGCAAATTACCATCTGGAGAATCAAGAAATTTGTATGCAACCGAAGATGAGCCATTGACGGCTCTTCATAATAATGGACTTACACGTTTGTCATCCAATAGATACGGCAAGAACTTTTCACTAAGTCGGAAGCTAGCTAAATTTGCGAAAGAAAAAAAAGCTGCGAAGACTTTAGGAATAGTTATGGGTGTATTTATTGTGTGTTGGTTACCATTCTTTGTGGTGAACTTACTCTCTGGTTTCTGTATTGAGTGCATATGGCATGAAGAGATCATCTCGGCAATTGTAACGTGGTTGGGATGGATTAATTCCAGTATGAATCCTGTTATCTATGCGTGCTGGAGTAGGGACTTCAGAAGGTAAGTTTCCTATAAAGTAATTTGGTGTCAATTAATGTACTGTGCAACTAATTAGTTTAACATAATATGTAGGCGCCCTTCCTAATTTCAAAGCACAACTCATTTTAAACATTAGATCATTGATTCAGTATTCTATTGGATGTACTATTAAAGAAAATTGATATAAGGAAACAATATCACAATTACAGGGCATGGTTCTAGCTCTATCGGAAACTACTTCGTCTTTGTATAAGTTATATGAAGAAATTGAAAGCCAGTAGTTACCCAAAGGGCTTATATATTTTTCCTTGATATTTTGAGATACAGTGTCACAAGTTTTCACAACAAAACCGACTTAATAATGAAGTACAGATTCGAAAAACTTTAGTGGAATTAAAAATATCCATAGAGAACGCGATAGCGCCTTTTAATTACCAGATTTTCTTATGTACTGTGAAAAACATGCCTGAGATTTTTCATCGGAATCGAGTACCTATTTCTCAGTACACAAGGTGTTTCAAAAGTAAGTTCAGAGCATTGTAGGGTGTTCACTAGATCTAGTAGGGAATTGTATAACAAGTACATCAGAGTGATTAAGGGACAAATGTTCTTATAAGGAAACCATAATTTACAATCCGAAACTAATCCTGCGTTTGAATTGACAACGTGAAAACCATTGACACAAATTCATTCGCGGATGAAAATCAGTTTTTTATAAGGCCTGCACTTTTTTCAGATTACTTATAAAAATGCATTAACTGTTCCTTTAAAATCTGTCACACTGTTCCATTAGAAAGGCATAATTTTCACAATTTCTTACCCACTGTCGCTGATGTCATTACTGTCGTTATCGCTTTCTAAAATCACCCGCCTCTTGCTGGGATCCAGTTTCATGTGGGTTTTCTTCTAAAATATCTGCTTCAATTTCGAAACAACTTTCTTCATCCTTCTCAGTTTCTCCTTCATTCATTTCCTCGAACTATTTCAGCCAGACATTTCAATCATTAGAAGTCAATTTTCTACTGTTGGCGTCTCCCATAGCTCAAAATTTCCGCCGTTCTATAAATCCTAAAATGCTGTGTTGATCTAATGTAAAATATAAACTGCACTAGTACTTTCAGCGATGAGTGTTGGAATAGACACAATGCCTATGAAACCAACACTAATGTTAATGATCGCATAGATGACGCCTGTACTCCGGGTAACTTTATCTCACACTAAAAGTCTTATTACTAAAAGTCAACTCCAGACTTCTCGTTCATACCACAGATGTATACATAATAAGCAGCTATTGTGAACAATACTTCCCCACCTAAACCAATACCGACTCGATCAGCAAATAAGGAGTGGTGGATGACTAGTGTTAATAATGTTGCAAGTGAGTGCTTTCTTGTAATCAATCTTGCGGAGATCACATTGAAGAAATCGATTTTTCTGTAAATAGGATTCGAACGCTCAACTCGTCAGAAGCCCGACCTCATTTCTAAGCATTACATAAGGATACATTAATTTTCAGAAAAGTAACTTTTTTATAATAAAGAAATATACAGTGTCACACATAAAAAAACAACACTTATTCTTCACTACAAAAGCTATAATCTGTTACAGTGAGATACTTCTATGTTCGTTATTTTTAAAATTATTCTTTAACTGAAAAATAGTGTTTTCAGATAATTCTTTGTATTTTGTAAAGAAACTAAAAACTTCTTTTGAAAAAAACTTTTGATCACTTTACTGCCAAATTAAACAAGGACCCATTATTAACTTTCAGCCATCGGAATTTAGATGCAATAGTTGTGTATACTGAATGGTACCAAATACCGAAGAGAAACCTCCATTGATATTTGTTGTTTTGGAAGAAAACTCCCCATTGTCTAATTTTATATGAAATAAATCTATATATTATTCTCCTCAAAAAATTTTATTATTTAGGTACGTGATCCTTTAGGAACGATAACAAATATTCGTTGAGGACCGATTGTCTAACTGAGCTTTTTATTTGGGAAATAATTTCCTTCTTTTTTCATTGTTTATAATAGGTCTAAGGTGTACTACGATTCGAGATTTGAAATTTTCCAGTTAAATTTGTTAATTGTAGAAATAAGGAGACGGTGACAATTCATTGCATTTAAAAATTATTTCGTATTGTTTATATGCTCTCGAATAGTGCAATTTTTATTCTTTATATTCCAATTAATTCCAAAAAATACCTACTTTATTTTCTGGTGTGGAAACTGCTGGTTTCTTCCACATTTAACTTCAGCAATTTTTTATGAATAATTTTAACATGAGAGATAACACTGGAATGCTGAACAAATAAGACTATTGAAATTAGCGCAAAACATATCCGAATATAACCAACAGCGTTCTTGCTGTTTTTCAAGTATATTCAGCTGTCAAATTAATTTGCTTTTATTTGCTACTAGCTGTGCTTGCAGCTTCGTCCGCTTGGGAGTCGGTTTGTGACTATGAGTCATATTTTCTCAATTTGCGAATTAACCTGAACATGCAAATGTATATGCAGACGTAAACAGGCCAGTGTTTACATTTTTATAAAACGTACTTCATTATGATTACTCTCCGTTGGATGAATCCAAAATGACGGCCTAAAACACCTGCCTTTTATAAACCTCTAGTAATCGTAGTTAACCAACTTTCTTCCTCTGATATTTTTCTATTTTTATCATAATTTTTGAATTTCGATGCTATGTTATACTGATGGCTGAGGTTTATATCCATAAAATTCAAAAATTAAAGGCATATGTCATTGTTTAATGTAATGTAGAGACTGCAGCCTGCCCCATCATCGTCATCATAAAGTCGCCAGTCCTAAGACTGGTTGGACACGTATCTCCACCCTTTCCTATCCTGAGCTAAACTCCGCATTTCCCTAAAACTAGAACAACCCCCATCCGTAACTATTTGCGAACAGTAATCTAATCCAGGCCTACCTCTACTCCTCCTAACTTCTGTTTTTGCCTCTAATATGTCTCTGACTAAACCTTCATGCCTGAGAAGGTGTCCTACCAACCTATCTCGCTTATTTCTTATTGACTTAAATAGAGTCCTCTGTTATTCTATTATTTTTAATACCTCTTCATTGCTAACCTTTTCTATCCACGTTATCCTCATCATTCGCCTATAACACTACATCTCGAACGCTTCTAACCCTTTCTTTTCCGTCGCGTGCACTGTCCATGTTTCGCACCCGTACAGCACCGCGCTCCAAACATACACCTTTAACAACCTTTTACGAATTTCTAAATTAACCGTTCGCGAGCATAGAAGTGACTTCTTTTTATTAACGACGACACGATCCTGCGTTATCTTCTGCTTTATGTCCTTACTATTCCTTCCCTCCTTACTTATCTGACTTCCTAGATATCTAAAATCAGCCACTTCTTATTCTAATTTCTCGTCCCCTATCTTTATATTTGCTCATTCCCTATTTTTTCTTCCCTTGCATACCAGTATTTTAGTTTTACATTTATTTATTTTCATACTGTCACGCTCAGTTGGAAACGGTGTCTTCACCATTTATGTTACATCGGTAATTGGTTAATTATTTATTTTAATTGCCTGATTTTAATGCAAATTAATTATTTTGGCGTGACTGGGGGTNTCTTTTAATACTGTTAGCAGCTCCTACTACATTTGTTTATCAATTACGTATCCGCATTCTCTTCCAGCATTGTTTTTACGCTCTCTCATAAATTTATCTCTATTAAATTCTTCTGTACTTTTAAAGCTTTCCTCCATTGTCATTTCGTATTTTTCTTCTCCTTTCCTATTTCTTGTTTCCCAATGTTAACACATTTTTTTCCTTTCCTCCAGTATATTCAAGTGTATTTTTTATAATTGTAAATACATTTCTTAACTTTGTTTTTTAGTCCATTTATGTATCTTCTGTTATATAATAAATAATATGTAACTAATGTAAGTGTTTTTAATTTGACATTTATTACTTACACTTCCACATATTTAAGTGAAAAATTGTTAAGTTACAATCAATCATCTTGAATTATTATGAAAATTTCACTTCAATTAACTTGGAACAAACGCAAAAAATAAGAAGCCCATTTAAATTGCGCTCCTTTTCGTTTTAGTTCTTTCCCTTAGTAGACAGATGGCGCAAAATTTGATGACAGAGTGAGTCATCTACGACAGTATATATATATTTCTAATCTATGATCGCCAATCCTCATCCAGCATCGTATATAGAAGGACCTCTGAAGAAGCTAGCGACTCCAACACACAACGGCATTTAAACCCGAATCAGAACAACATTAGTTCACCTACTGGACGCAAAAACCTTTACTAATTAATTGTACTAAGTGTGTTTGCATGCCTTTTTAACAACTATTTACGCATGGTCATTTTAGAAAACCAGTTTTGAGCATTCGTTCTTATCGCGCACAACTTGATGTAATCGTTTGCTCTTGACGTTGAAAATACTTCTGTGTTCGTATATATGGGACCTATCTCACTAAAAACAAAATTGTAAAAACACTATGTTTTTCTAAGTAAAAGGTACTCTATGTCCTTTTCTGTACTCCTGACAATGTGTTTACAAAATTTCATGATAATCGATTGAGTAGTTAAATTGTGAACTATATGTAATGTAATGTTCGTGGGTTTAACAAAATTAACTTCTAAGACTGATAACACCAGAACTATTTATTTACACTAATTATTAAAGAACTTAAAAACACTATTAAATTATTACTAAACATAGGTTATGAATTATTCTATTTATTTACACTACTGTTGATATATCACTATTCACTGCGCTATTTATTTTACTTCTATCACTGTCAATTTATTTCTGGATTCACTTCTGATCAATGTATTTCTTCTTCTCTCGGCGATTGTCTCTTCCTTTAAATACTCTTTTGTTTACTTTCTGGAACCTTCTGGAAACATCCGGATAGTTTATTTTTTCTTTGAACGGTTTAACTGCATTCCTAGAACGCAGGTACGACACACACATTTAAAAATACGGCACACATGAAGAAAGACGC